TTATCAAATTCGCGATTTTAATTGGTCAATCAACAAATAGCATGGGTTAAAATTTTGTGTTCCCTCCTGTTAATTTTGTGTTCCCAGAACAGTCTCTCCTGTTCCACTATGCAGCAGCATAGTGGAATTTCGTAATTAACACGAATGTGACTTAAAATGTCGATCTTTTTTATATTGTGTAATGGTAATTTTAAAGTACTTTTCAATTGGATGTTTGACCTTAATGTGATGTATAAACTTTTTATCAAAATTGTCAAACAACTTTATAGCCATATTCTTTATATTTTTTATATTACCAACTTCCTTCCATCATTTTCCTGGAGGAGTTAGCTAAGAACCAAAGTTTATAAGAAAGTAATAGTTAAAGATATAATATATTGGTATACATTAATTTTGGTGACTTTTAACCCATTATAATGGGTATTTGGTTTTTATCATATTATTCAAAAGCATCAGCAAGGTATTTGTTTTGTTAATATTGATATTAATATTAAAATATTTATTGTTTTTATTATTTTTGAAATAGTACATTTCAAGATCAATAAATTTATTTATTATATATAGTTATTATAGGGAGGTGTTTAGATTTACACATATTAATTACTCTTTTCAAATTCTTGGGTAATATTGTTCATGTTTGATTAATAAAGTCCTCACAAATAAATATTATAGTTTTTAGAAGCAATATGTTTCAAGGTCAACATTTTCAAACTCCAAATTTACTACTACTTCATTTTATCAATTAAGATTAAGGTTAATTCTTTATTTAAATATTATTATAAATTAATTTTTAATGAATACATGATACTACTAATTATAATTTATGCTATTTATTGGTAGTGATAATTTCACCAATTTATTAGATTGTCTATTGCTATTTGTAATTCATCTAAAGTATTGTGAGAATTATCAGATCCAATGTTTGAGTTATTGTCATCATCATCATCATCATTCTCATCCTGCAGGTTATCAATTTCTATATCTTCTGTAATTGTATTCTTGTCTTTATTTAAGTTTTTTGCAAACTTTTTAATGTTTTCATCATTCCTTTTTTGTAATAATTTTCACAGTATCTACAGACTCTTTCCAATGTGTTATAACATGTTAAATGATGATCATGTTCACAAACTAAAACCATTACATCATCAATATTATTAGAAAATGCTTCTTTACAATGATCACAAATATTAAGAGATGGTATACATTATGTATGATAACCAGTTGGTAAACATTTTATATTCACAATGCAATTAAGTGAAGCTAAATAATACAGGGGTGATTTCTTTGAAAAGGGTGGATTAACTTGATCAGGTTGAAGCATATAACTTTTGTCAATATTTTTGTAAATTTCTTGGAAATAAGATAACAAAAAATATACTGGTTTTTCAACAAGAAATTCCAGCTGAATAGGCTTATATGGGTAAATATATATTTTTTAAAAGTATCAACAAAAACTGATTTATGGGAATCTAAAGGAGTTCATTAAAAAATTAATAAGTTCATTTTCTTAATGTATGTATTATATATATACATACATATATATATAGCACATAACCTGCTGTGAAAATTTTCAACACAATCTTTATTGAAATTAACAAGATGATTTCCCAATACATTTGCAAAAGGATGTTGACTTTCTTTCTAATATATGTAGTCTGAAATAAATGCCAGTATCTTATTATAATTTTTCCTTTTCCATCTAAGAGCAAAAGTTCAGATTCTAAATAATGTTTCTAAATATTTAATATTAACATAAATATCATTCAATGAAGCATCAATCAACATAGTATTTTGATTATTTAAATTGTCTAATAAATTCTTAATGGCAAAAATATTATTTTGTTCATTGATGTTTTTGTTTTCAAAAGCAATGCGTTTTTTTCCCTTAGCAGGTTCACATACTTGCAAATAATGAGGAAAACATAACTGTGATTCATTAACTATCAAATAATCAAAATTAGAAAAAGTTCCAGAATTAATTGATTTTGTATAAACAGTTTATTAAAGTTTCCGTAAGGGCCCGAATTTTCACAACCAGTAACTAAGCAAGGACCTTTATTAGGATTGTGAGGCATCTTTAAAAAAATAAATTGTTTAGTTTATTATATAATTATAAGTTAATTATTTTACAATTAAATTATTTTGTATTAAAAGATTGTTAGATCGTGTAACGTGATAATTTCGAACGTCGATCAAAAACAAAATTCCATTATTCAATAGTTGTATATATAGGAGTGATCGAAGTAAGCATTAAGGACAAGATCTATGAACAAAACATACTAACG